CATGTATGCTCATTGCATCCAAAGGAGTCTTATTTCAATTTAATTAAAGTAATAATATAGTATATTTTATTAACTTGAGCATATATGACTCAGAAGCTCACTCAAACTTTTCTGAACTGTAAATGGTCCAGTTCTAAAGTATGAACCAAGAGGTCTAGGGACACTAAAGAGAAAATGCCTCTTTTGGCCTGACAAATGATAAAAGAGTTTCATTTTATCAAGTGTTGCTAAAAAGAAAAAATGGCAAAAGGCAATTCAAAGGAAACAGAGTGAAATAGAGGATTTAAAAGTGCATGAAATCATTGAGAGATAGCAAGTATTATAAAGTAGCTGAAAAACACACTACGTGGAAAAATTAGAGATTTTACACAGAAAAAATAAGATGGGAACATATATAAAAGTAAAAAAGAATGGCCTACTGTCATTCTAAGAAGTAACTCTGTATGGGAGGCAATAAAAGATCCTCAATGGATTTTAAGTAGGGGAGCAAGATAATCGGAATTGTGTTTGGAAAAATTCCTGCAAACTACATGGGATTTAGGACTTGTGCACAAGATGTTTAAGGCAAGGAGACAAATGTGAAAGTATGGCAATCCTCTAAGCAAGAGGTAAGTATCTGGACCAGAACACTGGTAAGCAGAATGGAGAACACAAGCCACATTTATGAAACATTTCTAAATAAACCTAAAAAAAATGACTGACTTACAGACTGAGATTTAGTATTATTCAGACTCCTCCAGGACCGAACAAAGGTCCAAGTGGCTGAGGCAGCAGGGTCAGAGGCAGCAATGCCTAAACAAAGGAAATGGAGAAGGTAAAAGGATACCTATGTGAAAGGCACATGATGAAGGTCTTTGCCAGAACATACCCTAACTTCCAGCCAAATCTCCTGAAAGAGGCAGCCTATCCCTCTCATTCTAGTCCTTAACTCCAGGCCCTTCCAGGTGACCCAGTGAGTAGTCATTAAATAAATGACCAGAAATCTGACCTAGAAGTTAAAAGAGTCCTGCTATAGCTTTGTCTCTATCTGGCATTTAATAATTTAGTATTTATTAAAACATTAGATAAAGGAAGGTGGTGGTGGTGGTGGTGTGTGTTTATACTCACAAAATGGTTAAGTCACTTAAGATTAAAGCCATGAAACTTATCATGAGCATACTATCACGGACTTGGAATCCCTTCTAAAATCTAGGATAATGGCTGTATCTTTAAATTTAAAAAAATTTAAATGTGTCCGATTTATCTGTTGATTATCCCTGTATCTAATGGGCTTTCAAATACAAAACTGGTAACACACATTCATCATATGTCTATACAGAAGCATGCATACAAACACCTATTAAAAATCTGGAGAAATAAACACAAAAATGCTAACAATGTTTGTCTTTCAATGTGACAACTTTATTGGAGTTTATTATACTTTTCTTTTGTATTTGGGGAATGTCAAAAGTTTATTATACTGCTTTCCTAATAAGAAAGAAAATCTGTCTGTTTCTCTCTCTTTAATTCTCTCTCTCAATCCCAATGTCAGGGCTTTACTGGGTAAGGGGCCACTCCTCTGCCCAAAATGACCAAAGCCTGCACTGACTCTAGTTCATGCTCCTAGTGCTGCTGGCCACCACTCACCTGAGCATATCAGATCCCATACTGCTCACAATTCTCATCTTCTGGATTCCAGTCCAAGAAATCACATGTGCTCTCTCTATACCCTCTCTAACAAGCAGTCTGCTAGCTATAGCCAGAAAATTCTGGCGGGTTCTGTGCCAAGCTTTCTACTATACTACCTGCTTCTGTTTAGGTCTAACAAGCGTTCCATGGGTAATGGTCTCATTTCTTCCCTGTCTATTCCTGCTGCACTCCTGTAGCGCCCACACCTTCTCCTTCCCATTCTGCTTCCATCTAGAAGTGTTGTGCCTAAGTACACCTCTAGGACTATATTCATGCTAAATACTAGTCTTTATGGCTAAATACTAGTCTCCTACAGCCTTGTTCTCCAAGCACTGATGTTGTGGGCTTCACCCACAGGGCCATTCAGAGCCTAGGGGATAGGCCGTATCCACTGATATGCTCTATTTAGTTTCTTTGGATCCATGCTTGCCTTAACCTTGCTTCCCAGCTAGCCACATGGGCCGCTGGCCTTGCTCAGCCTCATGATGCTTCCTGTTCTAGACCCCTGGTCTGTGAGAGACCTGTCATTTCTGTCATGAGCTTCTAGGTCTTCTCAGCTGCATTTCTCCAAAAAGTGTCTCTCTAGGTATTCTTTGAGTGACCCCACTGCTAATCATACTATTTTCCAAACTAGCCACTGTTTGGGAATGTCCCAAACACATTCTGCTGTTACTACCCAGGTATGGTGGCAAATGGACCAGGAACTATTGGAATTAAAGCCATCAGCAACATTAACAGGAAATTCCTATATGCAATACCAAATGAGTGAGGAAGGAAATTAAATACCTCCCCTAAAAAAAAATGCAAGACTTTTGAAATGTCTAACTCACTACCTCACAGGTTTCTCTAACAGTCCCTCCCCACAATATGGATATCAAAAGACAATTTTTGTGACTTCATATAATTCACTGATCCCCATTAAGTATCAATTCTCCCATTGGTATAATGATGATTCTAATCATATTCCTCCCCAGATAAAAACACTGATAAGATAGTGAAGGGAAAGTATCCATGATCTGTAAAAATGCTCAGAACAGAGTGTGTCATCTTTCATTAATGTAGGTAACTGTAGTATTTTCAAGGTTCTACTCTAATCCTCCTCTTGAGAGCTGGTTCCTAGAATAAAAGAAATTATTTATTCTCTGTGGAGATCATTTTGAAGAAAGAAATCCCGGTACATCTGTTTTCCTGGGATCCAATACAGTTGGGGATTCTGAAGAAAAAATCATAGTTTCAAGCAAGATTACCTGATTATATTGTGCTTTTGTGTTTATTTTACTCTTGCCATGCTTAACTTTTGATCAATGTCCCTTAGATGTACAACTCTCATCTCAGAAATGCTGTGGACTATCAATGCAAGCAGAGATTTGGACTAAATGGTTAAATGGGAAGAAATAGCTCTCCAGCCACAACCATCTCAGGGTTTTAATAATTATATAAAGAGAATTATAAAGTGAAAATAATATTTAAAAACAGGGATTGGGAGTGTATGGTTCTGCTGCCCCTATCCATACAGAGATTCTCCAACCAATTTCCTGTTTGAAGGTATCCGTTGTGTTTCTATTAGGGAAGGTTTTTTTTTCCTAATAATGTCTTCCAAAATGTTGATATTAAAATCTGAATTGAAAAACTTTGAGAGGAAAAGAAATTTTCACTGACATCTAGGGATCTGAAGTATGGGTGGTCACATGGAAAAGACGAAGGATACGCTGCCGGATCTCCTTTGTCTTCACTCCATAAACAATAGGGTTGAGCACAGGAGGAACAAGCAAGTAGGTGTTGGCCATAATGATGGGCAGGAGGGAGTCATGCCGCTTCCCAAAGCGGTGCACCATAGATAACCCAATGAAAGGTACATAGAATATGAAAACAGCACACACATGAGAGACACAAGTGCCAAATGCCTTTGCCTGGGCTTCACGTGTCAAGCCCAACACAGTCTTGAGGATAAGCAGATATGACAAGGAGATGAGAAGTGAGTCCAGGCCAATGGCAGAGATGATGACAATGAGGCCATAGATGATATTGACACGGATGTCAGCACAAGCCAGCTTCATGACATCTTGATGTAGGCAGTAGGAATGGGAAAGAATGTTGGAGCGGCAGAAAGGCAGCCGTTTGATGAAGATAGGCAGGGGTGCCATAAGTGAAGTACCCCGTACCACAGCAGCCACGCCAATCTTGGTAACACGAGGCAATGTTAGCACAGTGGCATGGCGTAGCGGGTGACAAATGGCCACATAGCGGTCAAAGGCCATGGCCAGCAGTACAGTGGACTCCATGCCAGATAAGGAGTGGATGGCAAACATCTGTAGAAGACAAGCATCAAACTGGATGGTAGTGGAATTGAACCAGAAGATGGCCATCATTCTGGGCATAGATGAAGTAGAGATAAGTATGTCAAGGCCAGAAAGCATGCAAAGAAAAATATACATGGGTTCATGTAGTCTGTGCTCAGTCCGCACAATGCAGATGACTGTCAGGTTACCTAGCACAGCAATAAGGTAGAGGGAGCATAACGGGAAGGCCAACCAGAACTGAGCTTTTTCCAAGCCTGGAAGGCCTATTAGAATGAAATATGTGGCACTAGATTCACTGCCATTGGTGTCCACCATAGTGAAGAAGAGGAGCCTCAACCAGTGCCAAGCAGGTACAGGCTGGAATACATAAATAAGCCATTGTCAGATACTCCAGGATCCCAAAACCATGCTTCCTTCCCTCCACCCTGATGTCCTATTCTCTTATCTAACTCTAATTTCATTGCCTATCCAAACTCTGATTCTATTCTAAACTCAATCTAACCACCATTTGTAACTCAAGGCCCAGTCCTAATTACTAATCCCACCTCTATATTCAATCCTGAAAACAAGTAAAATACTAAAACAAAAATTCTAAGCATATTTTACATCATTTAGTTCACAAAAAATAGGCTATTGACTGAGTATACAGACTTAGATGATATTTTTATGTTGTCCCATAATTTCCTCTACCCTGTCCTACCCTTATGCTCCCCTATGTTCAGTACCAACTGTAATTCTATCATTAGGCTATCTTTAAAACTAATTCTAATCCAAATATAGCAATACTAGCACAAATCAACATGGTAACCTAATCTTAGCACTAATCCTAATGATGTCTCTCATTCTAACCTTTACTCAGACTTTAACATTAATCTAACGCTTAATTCTGGAAGCTATTTCAAACTTGATCTAAAACTTAATAATACCTATTTTATTATGATAATCCCTAATCCAGTTTTAAAAACTGACAAACTAACTTCATTCTAAACTCTGACTCTATACTTTACTCCTGTCCAACGTCCATCCAGAGTCTTACATTGTCCAGACTATCCAGTTTGTATCATAAAAGGAACAATAGCTGTAGTGGGTGCCACTGGTATATCACTCAGATCCCCTCCACCAAACCAATGCACCTATATTTGCAGTGGGTGTGGAGTACTAAATGTTCACAGTTCTCCCTTTCTCCAGAAAATTATCCTTGATCAAATGAGAGGCACTTCACCCAGAAGTTATGCTATACCCGCCCACCTCAACCCCAGGACACATCTAGAGGTCAATGACTGCCTGACATAAAGGTGCAAAGAGCTAGTCGCCTTGCCTCCAGGTGGGACCTAAGCTGTGATGCAATGAGTACTTCAGAGCTTTCTGAGCAACCAGACTTTGCAGAGACCACAGCCTTGCTTAGCTTTCTCTCCCTTGTCTATCCTGCCCGTCTCACCCCTCTTCTCAGGACAGTAGTTTGTCAGTACATCACTTAAACAAGAATCACCATCTCAAGCTCTGTGTCTAGGGGACCCACCAAGCTTAAAAGAGAGGGACTGACACAGAAGACTAAACCTGAAAGATGATGATGGCATTAGAAGCACTGCAGAAATAATCAATCCTATAGCAGGGGGTTGCTATCCCCAAATTTGGCTACAAAAGTGATGGCTATAACTAGAGATTGTTGAGATGGGAAATGTCAGACGAGTTTTCTCAGATCTTATCTCTCTGTTGAAACAATTAGAGAGTTAACTAACTTCCTTTATCCGTTCCTTTTTTCCATCCACAAATATTCATGTGCTTCTATGACTTACTAGATTATATAAATTTACACTTGTTATATATATGAAAATATGCTTGGCTATAATCTGGAAACTAGCTATCTCCTCTTCCCATAATGGAAATAGTGCCACTTATTGCTAGGATATATTTAAGATAATTTTATCTTGGGAGGAAAAAAGAAAAGGTTAGATTCCTAAGATCTTGAAACTGGAATGGGGGTTACCAGAGAGCAGGTGAGTGTGAGCCATTTGTAACTCAAAGCCCAGACTAATCACTAATCTCACCTCTAAAATCAGTCCTGAAAAGAAGTGAAATACTAAGACAAGTCACCAGACAGCAGTTGACTGTAAAGAAGAGTGCATGGCCAGCATCAGGAAGGACTTACATCATTCACTGGGTTCAGAATGTGTCAATAATCTTTGTTTCACCATCGAGCTATCCCACAAGGGTTCCCTCACACCAGACAGAGAGCAAAACACTGAGAGCATGGGTTTTTGAAAGTTTAATTCCAACTGCTGGAGGGAAAGGGTATAAGGAGCCATATTTAGCCTAGAAAATCAGGCAAAGAAGCCAAAGTCATCAGTGTCTGAAATCCTCTGTACTGACCTCTCTAACCTATGACACTATGAGCAGTTCTCTCCTTTTTAAAACTCTCCCTCCTCCTCCTACTGCTCCTCATCTTTCTCTGATCATCTGTTCTTGGTCTCCTTTCTGGACCTGCAGACTCCTCTGCTTGACCCTTATGCATAATTTTAGATAATAATGCTCTCAGAATTTTATCCTTAGTTTCCCTCTTGTTCTATACCCTCTACCCTGGCCATCCCATCCCCTTCAATAAATCTATTTGTCACATAAAACTACTGATTCCCAAATCTGTTTAGCAAGCTTGAATTGTCTTTTGTGATCCAGATTCATAATTCTTTTTTTTTTTTAATTTTTTTTTCAACGTTTATTTATTTTTGGGACAGAGAGAGACAGAGCATGAACGGGGGTGGGGCAGAGAGAGAGGGAGACACAGAATCGGAAACAGGCTCCAGGCTCTGAGCCATCAGCCCAGAGCCTGACGCGGGGCTCGAACTCACGGACCGCGAGATCGTGACCTGGCTGAAGTCGGACGCTTAACCGACTGCGCCACCCAGGCGCCCCCAGATTCATAATTCTAAAGTCTTACTGAAAGGAATCACCTGACTCTCAGGCATATTCAACTCTCCCTGTCCAAAAATCAAAAGCTTTGAACTCAGTCCTGGATTCAAATCCTGGTGGATAACTTCATTAGCTATGCCATCTGGGCAGATCATTTAACCTTTATAAGCCTCAGTCTCCCCATCTTTAAAATGAGGATAATAGTGACTGCCTAATAGAGGTCAATGTGAGTATTAAATGAAACAATGAGTATAAAGCGTTTAACACAATGCCTGACACAAAGTAAAGGTGCAAATAATTACATCTATCATTGTTAACCGTTTTCTTACAGTGTTTCCTTTTTTTCTGTGGGGTGGCCTGAACAGCCACACAAGCTCAGAGGCTCTATTCTGACTGCCATGTCTCCAGTGCCACCTTCTTCATCTGCACAATCCCAACAATCTTCCCACCAAATGAAATCAGCTATCTATTGCTTAAAAAATACCTCTCAAAGTTCCAAATTGATTCTAGAAAAAAGACTCAACTGTTAGATTGTGGCAAAAAGTCTATCTTCCAGCATTTACCCTAGGTTTTTCTCTCGTCACTGCTGACCATGTCCCCTGTGCTCCAGCCATATTAGAATACATGTTGTTTCATGAAGGTGGCACTGATGCCCATGCTTCTGTGTCTTTTTCTCTTGTTTACTTTTCATTCCTTTGTCAAGATCTTCTCAGAACCCCTTCCTTGACTTCCCACTGAGAAAATCTTATTCATCTTTCACATCCTGGTTTACTGTCTCCCTCCTATGCTGTTTGCTAACTTCTACCCCTGGGTAGAATTAAATGCTTCCTGCCCTGTGTTCCCAAAGAACTTTATTTAGGTCTCTTTTCATGCATTTACAGTCTTGAACTATAATTATTTCTATATTTATTTTGCCTGAATTATGGATTCCTGAATGGCAGGGACCATACCATATTTATTAATTAGCATGCAGTTAACATTTATTGAAAATGAAAGTGAGTTTTATCAAAAGAAGAATCCCTCAATAGACATCTAATGAGGATAGTACAGGCAAGGAGGTAGGAAGGACTGCCCGTTGTATGAACTATAGATTTTGGAGAAGAATGAAAGAATATTTGGAAGGTCAGTGCAGGGTAGTCCTAATTTTAGAACAAGAATCTTGTTCTAAACAGAAAAGGCCTTTATTACCCAGGGAAGCAGAGGGCATGAAAGGATACATGGAGAACAAAGCAGGTGCAGCCTTGGCTCTACATAAATGCAAAGTAGACATGCAGCACAGTTTATGCCCAAGAGACAGGGTGACCTAGGATGCCCCCTCTGGAGACATCAGCAAGAAAGCTCTGCTACTCCAGGAGGCCAGATATCTATAGCATCCAAAAATTTCACATGAACAGACATGGTAGAACAGGATCACCATGTTCCACCTTAGGAAATATTAGGAAATAATCATTGGATTGGCATATTCCAACCTATTACCTCTAAGGGTCAAATCTGGGGCTAGAAATGCAAGTCTCAGCTCAAAATAAGCGGAGGACAGTAACAACCTTACAGTGCTGCTGCAAAATTATGAGATAAGGCATGTCAAAGGGTGCTGTAAAACCTATATCACAATATGTGAAGCACTTTTAAATTTTTTCCATTAAAGTGGAAAACAAGGTTCCTGAAAACACACAGTTCCCAAAAACTTTTCATTTTCCCATTTGTCACCTAAATCACCACTCCACCTCAGGCACATACTCATACACACATACACAGTAGCTAGCAGCCCATCTCTCTCAACGGCAAAGGATAAGCACTGATGTGGAGACATCAGACAAGGAGAAGACTCAGCTGTCTGGGAGAGAGATGCCTCAGCAGTATAAAGTGGGCAGCTACTGCTGGGGAAAATATCAGGCTGGGCCACAGAAACTTCAGCAAGAGAAAAAGGAAGGGATGGTAGGGAGACCAGCCAGAAGGCCCAAGCACTGAAGCATCCCAATCTCTCACAGTCCTGCCAGGAGGCAGGCAGAGGGAACAGATGTCATCTGGTCTGAGTGGCTGTTGGTAATTAGAACCATTTGCATGTACTCGGAGAACATTTGGAACTCTGGGGGAAATAGGAACTAAATCACTCTAGTTTGAAAGTAAAACATACTCAAGAAAAAATAAACAAAGAAAGTATTTTTTCTTTCCTTTCCCTAACCCCAGGGAATAGGCTTGGGACTTTCTTTGAAAAAGGAAAAGTCACGCTATCTCAGCAAGTCGCAGGCGTGCCTTGGAGAACTGTGAAGGACATCTTGGCCCTTTCTTGAGGATGGAGGGAGCAGAAGCCACAACTACACAGAGGAGAAATACACTTTGAAGGCTCCAATTCTCCTCATTCCCTCCCCCTGGCCTCCAGGACTCTGTCCCCCAGTGCCAGCTCAGCC